CAACGATGGCGTGCCCTGTGTCGACTTCATGCCTCACGCCTTGACACGCTGTAGAATAGTTTTACATCAATAATCAGTGACTCCATCTGTCGCTGTAGCTTCTTTCAGATGTATGCCTTTCGCGTCCAATAAAGTAATGTATCATGAAAAATTTTGATATGAAATTATTGATCGTCACACAGGAAAGCGCATGACTGCGCATGTATGTCACGCCATGCAGAACACGTTAAACCTAATAATAAGAGGAAAACAACATGATTGAGAATAATAGAGAGTAATTGACATCAGTAAGATTTGGAGAGAAGCAATAGAAAGTGTCTACCTGCCGTAAGTCGATAGTAACGTTCACTTTTTCGTATTGAAGTCCATTGGCTAGCGATGGCGACTGCCACCATCTGAAGCAAACCAGCTGATCTGAGAGCGATCCAGACGGGGCTCTGTGAACTCACCTTCTCGTCCCATCAATGGCAAATTCGATCGGATGACGGTGTTGGGGGTCGTTTGCGTCGCAGATATCGCATTGCGGCGAGCTGAAAATGGAATGTTAGTCCAGTCAGAGCTTGGGAATCTCGGATACTTGGGAGCCCCCGTTCCCTCGCAGGATAGGAGAGACAGGACGCAACATTTTGGGAGCAGAAAGCGCCTGCAAGTTGTAATCACGGGCGCCAATAGCCTTTGAGGGGCATTCAAAGGAGTCCTTTTGCTGAACTGGGATTCATGTAATTCAAGTAGAATTGCCGTAGTCAAAACTGGTTTACCCACCCTGAAACCCCTTCCAGTTCAGGATTAAGCAAGAGTTTTCATTATCGCTGCAGGTGTCCTAGTCTTGCACGACAAGGCTAACCCTCTAATGTAGCCAGCCCCTACTCACCAAACAAATACTTTTAATAAGACAATGCTCACCCTCCAACAGCAGTTTTCCGAAGTAGAACGTGCTCGACAAGTTTACAGTACTCCTCGCGTCGACTGTAACCACATGTTGCCGAGGCGTTGATTAAGGAGTTCGTGGCCAGGTTAAATATACTGGGGAACAGGCCTCGTTCTGAAAACAACAAAATCTTATGTCGGGAGGGTCTAGGAGCTTTCCAGACAGTCGAAAACTGGATTTACCGCTTTCAGTGACAATGAACTCCTGGTAGGGATCGTAGTCGTCATCTTGGCAGCTGGCCAAACTGGATAAGGCTAGGATGGCAGCTAGCCAGCCCATGGGAGCCATGGGCGGTTATGGAGTGCCGCTAAAATGAGCAACTATTTGATCACACAAAAATATCTTTATTTTTACAGTTTTTGAGAAGAAAATTACGGTCAAGTTCAAAGAGAAGAGGAAGTAGCTTTGAACAAACGGAAGATATAGAACGAATGTGAAGGAGATCGGTTGCTCAGGACAATCGAAAAGTATGTCGGGCTCTAATCCAATACAGGCCAGTGGTCCAAAACCTCGCGGGCCTGGACATGCCGCGATAACAACCATTATGCCCAGCACACATTCACTTCCCTCTACAATTCTAAAGCAAATAGAAACATCTGGAGCATCTAAAACCTACCAATCAATGCTGCTGACGAGGAATGTGAATCACGACGTTTCATGGAATGCTAACAAGAAAGCAACATGTAGCGCTCAGCGCTTTAGCGCAGGGCAGAGTCTGAGAAAAAGGACTGAATATACTAAAGATGGTACAGAATCGCACATAAAAAGCAAAATGAGGGAACCCAAATCAACCTCAAAACTGTGATAATCGAGCCAAGTGGAGCCATTCGTAGCAGCCGACTCTTTATACCTGTGGGAAACTTCCTGGGAGCAAAACAAAATTAGCAAAAACTGGCGGGGCACATATGGTACAAGCTATTGCTTGTTTTCAGTACCTCAGGCGAGATATTCGAAAAAGCAAGAGATTTTACCTAGTTAGTGAAATTGAAAAATTGAACCCTGCAGCGTTGCAACCCTTTTACAAGTCCTAACTGCATTTGCTATGAGACCGGTACAGTATGAGTGACATATTAGTAACACCTAGCGCAAAGTGGTCTCGCTCTCTTCAGCGGTTATGGGGTGGGCTAGTTTATTTGTGGCATTCCGGAATATTTCTTCGTTCGAAGCGATAAGGAAACAGGCGTCTGACGGTAAACGGAGAGTAATCCTCATATCTTGAGCGTTTCAACGCCCAAGTCGGCTGGTGGGGCATTTTGCACTTCCGCTACTTCCTGTCGAAGTGTGGAACTATCCAGAGCTGGCCAAAGTGGAGACTGATAAATCTGTGAAGCCATGATAGGTGAGTGATAGCACCCTGAGTTTATAGAAACAGCTGATCAAGCGCGGTTTTCTCATTCACATTAGCAACACTTCTTGAGAAGATTACATTCTCTTATGATTACCGCTCGCTGCGGACCCATGGAGGAAAAATGCCCTGGCCGCGAGCAGCGAGACCAGCACAAGACTAGATTCAACGAAGAAAACTTTGAGTGACCACGTAGATACTCCGGATATATAAAGGTATTCATCTGACGAATTCATCGCATGCAAAGAATATTTCTGCGACTCCACGCGGTAGCTGCTTTTCTGAGAATCTCCGAAGAATCGCTAGAAAAACATAAGCATGCATGGCATTGCTGGTGTTGTGATAGCAAGAAGTGATAACAAAATGGCACAATGAGAGCGATAGTCCCGCTATAAGAACCTCTGCCATGTGCATATTCTATTACATGGCAAAGTTGGTGGTAGCAGCGGAATCCGGTCACCAAGATAAAGCTGCACCACATGGAACAGTATAAGCGTGGGAGTCGCAGCTGAGCAATGATCGCCTTCAGCATACAGGGTACACAGGGTACAGCATCGTTCTGTGTAAAATGGTGGTGTCAGTACCACCCCCTAAAGGAGGGTCTCGGTAGGACCCCCTTCCCCAACACCTACCTGCAAGTTT